TCCAGGGGTGCACACTGCGATCGGATCCTTGCGGTTGAGGTCCAGGGCTGCACACTGCGATCCGGAGCTTGCCAGACAAGATCGGCGAAGCAGATTGGCGAAGCAGATTGGCGATGAAGATTGGCGATGAAGATTGGCGATGAAGATTGGCGAGGAGGTTGGCGAGGAAGGAAGCAAGGAAGAAGGAAGGAAGGAAGGAAGGAAGGAAGGAAGAGGAAGAACAACTGTGATAAAATCTAACAACCCTCACCTGGCAGGTGGGGAAAACCGCCTCGATATGCACCAGCACAAAATACGACACGGGCTTTTGCTGCGCCGAAAGGTAGAACAGCCAGTGGGCAGCCCTTGAAAGTACACCGGCTTTCCACGGCTCTAGCTTTTCCTGTAGTCGAATGTAGTCGAGCAGCCTGTTTCTCAAGGATATCTTATAATGTCGCAAGGTACCGGCAAAGGTTTATTTGTGTACCTTTGTCATCAAGCGTCAGCCACTGTGGTCATACTATGGTCCCCTGTACTGCAATGAATCAGCCTACTCCGAAATCGGCATGTAAGCCGAAGCCACGTGACGACCAGTGGGTCACGACAATTTTTGGGGGGGCCAAAATTGAAGGATGATACCTATACTGGTTTATCGAGTTCTGAAGGGCAGTTTGTCGATTATGTAGAATCACCCAAAACCAAACCCTCGAAACTGGACCTGGCCGATTGAGGACGGCGATGAAGAGACAACCCCCCTGTTTTTGGTGAAAGCCTTGTGCATCACTTCTGGAGGGGCAAGCTCCATCCGATACCGCAAAGAGTGGCGCCGAAGGGTGAGTGCTCAGCAGATCGGTGCTCAGCAGATCGGTGCGTGAGTAGCCGTCGCCGTCACCGTCAGAAGCGTCAGTAGCCAAGGACCAAGGATTGGAGCTATCAAAGCCAACGAAGTGACTAGGCAGCCGAACACTTTACAGTAGATTTCTAGAACATGGTGGAATTAAGCACCATTGGAGATGACTGGAGTAATCCAGAATCATACAAGTAATAGCTGATCATGCGCAGATTGTATTATTCTTGTGACATGTAATTACACCTCTATATCAACAATCTACCAAGCAGCTCACCCAGGTCTATCCAGGTCTCTCAGGACGCACTCATCAGCCAAGTTCCGCCTCAGGGTCGTTGGGTCTCATGGGACCGACCCACGCCTCTCCAGACGGGGCCGACCTGCGCTTCGATCTCCCGCCTCCGTATCCATGGCCGCCGCAGGTAGCGCTTCGAAGGGCGCCTCGGTATCCATGGCCGCCGGGGGTAGGAGGTCCTCCGCAGGCGCCGCGGTCGCCGCCGTTGGGAGGTGGCGAGGAAGAAGACCGTGCGTGGCGGACAATTCCAACGGGATGCGTATGGTTTGGGAGTTCGAACTGTAAGCAGGGATCGGCATGGTATGCACCCTTTTGTGATTTCGGGTGATTTACTTCAGACAGATGTTCCCCAGAACGAAGAAATGCAAATAAGCAGGAATATCCAGGCGACAAAGCCCCCATCCAAGGTTTGGTTCCCGACATACTTGTCAATCGCGAAGTCAAGCAATGCAAGCAAGAAGCGGACTGTGGATTCTTGAATCCGAAGAACACATCCCCAAGAAGAATAGCACTATATAGTGGGTGCGATATTGTTTCACACAAGTTGCTGTAAACAATATAAATCTATATAACATATACAGTATTCTAAAATGTCCCCCCAACTGTTCAGACGATTCATGGTCTTTCTTGTCTTCACATGAATCAAACGATCACGGTGATTGTGCCAAAAACGAGCCACAAAGGTTCCCCAGTATCCTTCAAGGGCCAGGAGAAGCTTTTCAAGGGTCGAACCAAAGCTTTTCACAGGCCTTTCGCACCAGAGGTGGGCTACCATCCCATCCAACAAACCATCCAACAAAAGAGGTAGCAACCAAGCGGAACCAACATCAATCAACCAACAAGCGTTGATGTGTGTGTGTGTGTGTCAATTGGGGAGACCCTTCTAGGCTGCTGGGCTTTAGTCGTCTTCCCTGTTTCATCCTGTTTCTATATGTGCAGCGGCATCTATTTGGTACTAAGCTCAAATACACTATCCATTAATTATGTGGGGGCCCTGTCTCGTTTAGACTATATACTTAAGTAGGAGGTCATGTCACAATATCTCGTTCAGACTACTTTAGTGGCAAATCACATGATCTCGTTCAGACTACTTTAGTGTCATCAAGCAAAAGCATCTTGTTTATGTGGGGGCCCTATCTCATTCACAAGCGAATACTGATGATAGACAAGCAAATAAAGCATGCCGTAGACTACTTTAGTAAAGCCTAAATAAATGGTTGCTCATATGTCTTCCGCATGAAACTCCTCCATGTCATCCGGCATGCTACCCTTCTGCGAGCTCATCTGGCACGGCGGGCTGCTCCAAGAATTGCTTAAAGTAAAATCCGGAGGATTGTGGAGATGTTTCCAAGCCTTAAGAACCAACTGTCAGTAGGTTCAAGAACATTCAAGAACTTATCACAGGTTACCTCAATGTAATTTTGTTCCGAAAAGTCATGTAATTATTTGAACTGCAGCCTATTGGCCGACCGTCTGTGGGCCACCAGTGGTCTCCCGTTTCGTGAAGGCCCCATCTGACCGAGCGGCTCCATTGGTTGGCCCCTAGTAGCGTCCTTGCTCCTAAGTAGCGATGCCCTTTGCTCCTAGTAGCGTCCTTGTTCCTAGTACAGTATACGGTATACGTGTGTTCAATTTTGGCGATTCGGAGATTGAACATACTGCTGAAGCAGAAATTCCTTGCTGCAAGAAAGTCGCATGAAAGGGGGGCCTGGGGATGCCTGGAGAGACCCTGGCAAAATAGGCCGCAAACAAATCCTGCTCTATCACCCGGAGGCGGATCAACCAGTTAGTCTCCTGGAGGCGGATCCTGTTTCAAAAAGGCAAACCGAAGATCGCTATTTTACATGACATATCATACCGTTGTTCACGGCAAGTGGGCTCGTGGTCTCTTGCTTTCTCCAACTCCCGTCACATTGGGTCCACCACTGAAGGTGTATCAAGATGCCCATGCAACGGAGTCCTTGGTGTGGAGAACAATGGGTTCGATGCCGTCGTTGTCAGAATCCTGCTACGCCCTTTTGATCCTCCCCCCAAAAGAAAAGACTACACCATACATCCCACACCAGGAAAATCTTTGCATTCTGCCTGCTACCTCCCTCATCCAAGTGTGAATCTACCTCACAGCGACCAGATGCAGCTGAGCAATCTCCTGCCCAACTGCTAAACGGTATGAATCGGACATCCGGCGGAGACTGGCTCCGTTTCGCGTTACAAGTGCTTTGTGGACCGAAAAAACGGGTGGATGGATGCACAGGTGCTCGTGCCAAAGGATGAATATTCCGAGGTTGTTAGCAACTGAATTGGCCTCCTCAAAGATGTTATATAAAGACTTTGAAGACAAATCTCGGAGATCTTGTCATGGCTACCCCTTGTTCAAAACACTCGCGAATAGCCAGATGTCTTGTGTGCCTACTGTAGAGAATAAGTTCCGGTCAACGCCTGCAACATCCAAGACTAAGATCATAGCGCGTTGGGAGATGGTGCAAACATGTACAACTTCGCATTACGGTAGGTGGAGTAATCCTGGCGCAAGAAAGACAACCAAGGGACATTGCAAACTTGCAAAGCAAATGGCTTCAGCAAAGGCAAAGGAAAAACACTCAAGAGACTTCAAAACTTGCAAACAAGTACAGTAGTTCTTTTTTCGCTGACCGGCGTGCCGCAGTTGAGAATCATCCGCCCCAAGAGCGCATTGGTTGAACCTGACCAATTGTTGTAGCTTGGAAACTTGACGGAGAGGTAGGACTAGAGAATCAACAAGCTTAGGTGACCCCCAAAGTGTGTCGACCAGCCAAACATGGTCCAGGGAGCAGCCAAAAGGATATTTCTCGTGGACAAATGCGGCTGAATTCACCCCGAAAGGACCAGAGCGACTGTTTTTGAGCTCCAAAACGAAGAAGTTCTCCAGAAAGTCTTATACTCAGAGCAGGCGGTTGATCCTCGATCGCCTGGGGTCTGGTGAAACCGAACTTGGATGCAAACTGAGAAAACTCTTGGGACTCCTGCACATCCAAGCTCCTGCATAAATGGAAGATGGAAAAGGCTGATGCCCTTGGTCTCGTTCCTTCCGAGCCCCGACAAGCTGATCAGGGGTTGCAGCAAGAAATCGATGACAAACGGTCTGCAAGGTCTGCGACATGGTGAAACATTCCCCAAGGCAAAGCAAATACCCAAAACTCCCTGAACACGGAAATCGCCAAAATCTACATCTCCCAAAACTGCAAAATGACATTTCCGTACCAAACATCGGTAGCCAGCAGCTCTTGGACCCTGCCTCGCTAGTCACCGCTAGTGGATGATGGTTCATCATGACCTGCACTAAGTTTTGGAGTGTCGGGGGTCAGTCCCCAAACTGGTTCTTCTGAGTCCTTTTCAGCTGTCAAGGCACCTGATCGCCGCGGCTTTTAGGCACACGCGTTCAGAAAGGAACCCCGGTTCCCAGGCGAGGGACCCCTCAGCTTTCAACGGGCACCTGGCATGCGCCACCAGAGCTAACCACCCATTAACATTTTTTGTTCAAATCTTCTTTCAAACAGAAGGATCTATAAACGCGACATTATAGCACATGATGTCAGGGATTGTCCCTAACACATCTTCATATCCTAAGAGGTGTCTGAAACGCAAGTAGAACGTCAGTTGCACCAAATGCCCAGCTGAGACGACAAATCGCCTGCTGCCATGAGGGTTGCGATGGTCAATATCTTGAGCCAGGTGGATATCAAACTTATCAAGCAACATTGGGGATTGGCGAAAACTGTGTGTGGATGCTCGCAAACACCCTGAAAATCACTGAAATGAGTGCTGGCTTCAGAAAATGGGTTTGAATCAGTAACACCAAGCTTGATTCATTCGACCGATTTACAGCAAATCTTGTCCAGCTTGAATTTTGTTGCTGGTCATCTCTAAAGCCAAACTGACTATGTCAGAAAACAACAGCTAGCATACCGTGCATCCGAATGGATGTGGTTCAAGAATCTGCCTGATAACACTTACATTTGTTCTGTGCTGAACGTGCTCAATCTGAATTGTCCGCTCCGATCCTTTGCTTCAACATGCCAAGGGGCCTACCACAAAACAAATCATTTTCAAGAAGACCTGCATGTCAGCACCGCCCAGATCAGATGATTAGGCCGCTTGCCATAGGACTCCCTCGGTGGTTTTCGCACCCGTTCCGCACCTTGGACCATGAGACATTGTGAGTGTCTCCCTGCACCACCAACCTGGTCAGCTTGGTGACCGGCAGAAAGGCCCGGTGATCTGATCAAATCACATGGTAAACAATATGAAACAATGGGTATGGAATGGTGTAGACGCAGATGTTTTCTGTGTTTGGTGATATGATTGCGCAGAAACTGGCCCATTTCAACATGTAAAAAAGATGGAACCCACGAAGCCGAATGCAAACACATACTCAAAAACAAACGCCCAAACATGTTTCGACACCCTTGCAGGAGACGCTCCTGTAGAAGGCTCTTGTGGGACACTCTCGTGCGACACTTTCGTCACTCTGTAGGACACTCTTGTCGGACACTCTCGCGGGACACTCGTCGGACACCCTTATAAAACACTCTCGTGGAACACACTTGTCCGACACTCTTGTGGAACACTATTGTGGGACACTCTTGTGGGACACTCTTGTACGACACCATGGTCGGACACTCTTGTGGGACATTCTTGTAGGAGACTCTTGTGGGTCTTGTAGGACAATCTTGTCAGACACTCTTGTGGGGCACTCTTACTTGTAGGACTCTGTACGACACTCTTGCTGGGCAATTTTGTGGGACTCTTGCGGGACTTTGGAGGGGCACTACTACTAAAGTCTCCTCATGTCTCCAAAACTAGTGTTTCGCACGAGACTTCTCCCAAAACTCACTCGTCACGTCTCCAAAGCGATCGTTTCGCGACAAAACGAGCGTTTCGTACGAGACTTCCTCCAAAATTCATTCGTCAAGTTTCCAAGGCGAGCGCTTCGCGCGAGACTTCGTCACACTTCAAGTCTGCAAAGCGATACGAAACTTCCTCCAAAAGTCAAGCGGGAAGCCCCATCAGAGCACATGCATAAAGCGGCCCTGCCAAGCAGTTTCGCTATTTCAGACCCTCCAAGCACACGCCAATCCAAATGTCACAGCGACATTCACCTCCACCACAACTCGCAACCTCACGATTCCCTGCGCCTGCCACAAAAATTAGCGCGTCCACACCTCAAACACGCACAAAGTACTGTGCCTGCCACGAATTGTGACCTCCGCCACACCTCACAACCTCACGATTCCCTGCACCTAGCACAAAAATTGCACTTCCACAACTCAAAGCTCGCACAGCGTACTGCGCCTGCCACGAAAAGTAACAATAGCAATATCATATCTTCGTAGCTTCAGCAAAATTTGCAATGATTTCGACACGTTCTGAGCACACTCCCATCCACCAAAACCGCCACTCAAGCCGGAACTTGTCACGAAAACACAGCTTCGAAGCAACACAGTGAAACGCAAGTCCCAATGTCAACACCCAAAAACACCACCCTCTAAACGCCAATCCTGCCCAGTGAATTCATCCTCCACACTTCATCCTCTCACGTTTCCACACGTTTCCTTGCTATTTCACATGAATCTGACACGTCATGCTTCCATCCCGAACCCAAATTATGTACACACGCAGTCGAAAACAAGCGGCCCGACGTTGTTTGACACTCTTGTAAGACACTCTTGTAGGAGTCTTGTGGGACACTCTTGTAGAACACTCTTGTGGGAAACTCTTGTGGGACACTCTTGTGACCCTTGTGATGGGACACTCTTCCTTCTTCCAAAACTCACGTGTCAAGTCTCCAAAACGAGCGTGTCATACGAGACTTCCTCCAAAAGAAAAAACCTTTGAGTGGATCAGTGGATCTGTCACGATTGTGGACTCAACTGTTGCACTGCCACCACCGCAGCGGCTGGGAACCCCAAAGATCGGCCTCACCGTGAAGCGGTCGCCCTTTTCGAGTGCATCATCGGGACCTGGAAGGATGGAGGACGGGGGGCCTGGTGGAGCTAATCTACAACAGGTGAAAAATAGATCAGTCTAAGGTGAGATCTAATCCAACCTTCAGATCAGTCACTGTGAAAACAGGTGGAGCTACTCTACACATCTCTGCCAACCGAGAAAACCGGTTTGTGCACCTTTTTTTGTGAAAACCGGGTGAAGCCGTCACAGCACCCAACAATGAGCAGCTGACCGTGGAGCACTCGACTGTGGGCCGAGTCCAGAAAACCAATTGCGCGAGGATGTTTATGGCAAATGTGGTGAGAACAGGAAAACAGCTACAGAAAACCATGTCTTACTTTCTCCAAAACAACACGATGCCCAGGATTTGGCCTGGGGCTTGATTCTGACTTTGACGCACTTTCGGGAACTTTCGGGTATATGTCAAAGGCCCAAAACAGCTTTATACGTACGTTTGCTGTACATGCAGCAGTTTTTGCGCTCGTCCCATGCTGATGTCCCGCGTGCACGCGCCAAACATACTATAATATATAGTTTCTCGAGAAGCACGCGCACACAGGACCCAGGGATGAGATTTGTTCGAATCCGCTATGTCAGTGCTCAACCTACACCTAGTGGGGATCACAAAGGAGTTCAGTGCCTCAGGTCATTACGGTCCCACAGCGGAATTCCAACTATGTTCAACAACCTAAGGGAGATTGGATTTACTCCGTTAAGGTGAAAGGTGCTGCAAAAAAAACCGATGAAACCACGGCAAATGTTGATCCAACTGGCATCCACAACAAAGGTGCAGTCAACACTCCAAGTCCCAGAGGGTTCCTTTCAATACCCCAAAGGGTGCCTATGCACCAGCAGTTCTTGCCGTCGTCCAGCAAGACCATATGCTCTGACTCTTGGGTGCAATTCTCCTGGAGGACTCTCGACACTGAGGCAACCATGAGCTGCTTGGAGCCTGAATAGGCTCATGCTTGCCTTTCGGGCAGTTAAGTCATAGCATCCTGACTACTGATTCAGACACAAAAGAATGATACACGTTGTGACTCAAGCCTACTGTTGGACAGAATAAAATCCACTAATTGGACAGCTTACTCATGCATGTCTTTCTCAAAGGCAGTCCTGGTCTGGATGAATGCAATGATCCTTCAATCGATGAATCAGCACGTTGAAGCGCATCATTGGCCTTGGGGACAAGGCTTCTCAACAGCCTATACAATAGTTGTTATCTGCAACGCTATTCTGAAACAAGTTGGTGTTGCTTCGCTAGAGATGTCTTCAAGACTGGAACAAATGATCATGGCCTAGAAGGATTCATCACTCCACAATCCAGCCATGCAAAAGCAAAGCTGTTACATACTTGGTGGCAGTAGACAGGACTCGACCAGTTCAACTGTGAACTGCTTTCACGAATCAAGTTTCACATCCAGCTGCTAAAACGGCTGCTCGCCAGTTGGCAGCCTGGGTTTCTAACTGCCTTTCCGTCGGCCTCTTTGGATCCAATGGCAAATCCTGCGATGGGCACCCAGCCAGAGCGGGTGCCAATCGAAGGACCTCTCCGCGGTTGATGATGGAACCTCAGAGCCTCATGATGGAACCTCATGTTCATCTTGACAAGTATGCCGTCCTCCCAGTTCCGGAACCCCTACGTCACAATGACCTTGAACATCGACTCCTGAATGATATTCCTTGACAAAACCTTGGTGAGAGTTGATGCATGTGATGGGTCCATGTGATCATCTGTGGGGGTACATGGTACGTGGGCCCCCCAACAAGCGAGGTCCATTGGTGTGGCATAAACATGTGTTTGTGAACCCAACACACCTGGTCCCTTGGCATCCACAAAGACGGTGTCTTGGACAGAAGACACGCGGCTGCCATACCTTCATTTTTAGAGTCCATTGGTGGTTGTCGGCGTTTCAAGGAAACATGGAAGCTCCTCTCAAAAGACCAATATGTCTATGGGTCAAAACCTTGGACCCTGAGTGAGAACAGAACAGGATGCATCATTAGACATGGTGAACAGTTCCTGCCTTCTTTTCACATCTTTGGTTTTGATTTATGCCCAATCAAACCTGCCTTGTTATGATTCATCCAAACAAAAGGACCTTCCCATGTTCCATTCCTCCTCCTCTCCTGGATCATCACCTCTCCCACATAAAGCTTGCGATCACCATCAGCCTGGCGAATTCAGAGCGGTAAGGTAGCTGATGAGATGTGTGTTAAAGAGATTCGAGACCAACTACTGAAAAATGACACAGTGTCATAATGAAGTCCTACATGACGACAACTGTACCTTGTGCATGACAAGTCAGTGGCAGGAGTTCATGCCGTTGTGGTACACCTATGGTCATAGGAAGGGGATGGTGATTTTCTGATGCGCTGGCATGTGATGGTGCCGAAATTTTAAAGATACAATATATACATAAATATATATATAAGTGTGCAGTTTTTACCATTTTTAGCGTAGTCGGGCCGGGAAGTTTAATAGGTCCGGTGGTATGATTCGGTGTATGAATCGGGGGTATGATTCAAGGGTATGCCTCGCAGCTTTGAAATTGTATTGTTGGATTGGCTGGACTTCCAGCAGTGGGCCCACTTCTGCGCCATGAGGCAATAGGCAAGCAGCATCTCTTGGTTGCTGGGCAAACGAGGCAAGTGCACTCTTCTACCAAAGACCCCACGCCCCACCAAAGGCACGACCCTTTTGACAATGCGCACCAGTGGCCCTCTGCAGGCCCCACCAAAACAACCAGGATGCGGGATGGGTGGGAGACTGTGTGGAGGAGTGTGATTCGGGTATGAATTGGGTGTGATTGGTATGGCCATTAGATTGTGCAAAAGAAGTCGATCGTTTGGCTCTTCTTCTCAGGGAGAGCACATGGGAACATTGGTACCCTGGGATGTGAGCCTTTGCTCTTCCCAGAAGAAGACAGGCAGTTTTGGCCAAATTGAGTGCCCGTGGATTACAAAATTGCAAACGTCATGCACCATTGGCCCCTGGGCATCTACAAGGCACAAAGACCAGCCAAAAGCTTCATCTTAACGCCCTCATAACCCTCACACCTACTTTTTGAGGGGGATGATTCAGGGGTATGATTCGAGGGTTTGAATTGCTCAAGTCGAACTTCCAACCACTACATCAGGAAGTCACGCAAAAAACAAAACAATCCCATACAACCAACTGACTGAGTAAACCAATTCTAGCAGTGGGGATGAAGTGCCAGTGCAAGCCTGTACGCCATGGTTGCACCCAAGGGCTATTACTACCTGTGACCCACCAACAACCTCAAGCGGCGTCTGTTACTGAGACCTTCTGAATCTTTTATATCTTTTGGACTGTCCAACTGAATGGCAAATCTCATGTCCCTATTCTCCGACAACCCAGTAAAACAGTGGAACACGATTCATCAATATTGGCTAAGCTGAAGGGTGGGAGGGTTAGCTAACGTCCGCTTTGTCCGTTTCACTAAAAGTTTTCGTCTGGGGTCTGAGCCTATGGCTCGCTGGCAGTGACAAGGCATGCACCCAGGAGCAAATCAACCATGCCATAAGGTTCTTGTTTCAAAACAGGAGGCAGGTTCTTTCTTCGAGATCACTTGCTGTTCCTTTTTTCACTTCACTTGGGGAAATCAGGTCTGAAAACGTCCATCCATAAGTCATTAAAACAAACACCTGAGATTAACACCATCACCTGCAGATGGACTCGTGGTGCCTCGTCTCGAGGGTGGACTCTCTCGCGCCGTTCCACGCGACCGTGGGTCGACCAAGGAACAAGTCATGTCTGGAATTGACACCACCATGTACCACCAATGACAGTACCTCAATACCTCACAGCACCTATATAGCATGTGTCTTTCGCTTGATCGTCCCGCGTCAAACTTCTCTCCCAGCTTCTTCTGATCTTCTTCTGGGCATATATTTGAAGTGGATGTCTTATCCAAAACAGAGCGCGAAGTAGAAATCGTGCCTCCAAGGTCATTCGACTCGCAAGCTTGTGGTTGAAGTCATTGCACCTCAAGTCAAAAACGGATCCTGGCTCCCCCCAAAAGGCCGCACATGCTCGTATCATCAATCTACCCAGTAACCAATTGACACCCAAATCCATCACCTGAGGACCTTCGCACCTTCGCCGAGTCGCGACTTCTTAATTAGACACCAATCCCATATGACTTGCACCAGTCTCCCCAAAAGTGATGCCACATGTTGCCGCAAAAGGTCCGCCACCCGGCCACGTCAAGCCCTGTAAAAACGGTGAATCTTCGGTGAGGTTCTTCGGTGAGGTTCTTGCGCGCGCGACCTATGTCAAGGTGGGCGCTTCAAAGCGCCAAGGCATAAACGCCGAGGAATTCGTTTCCAATACAGTATATCTAAAGAAGCACGGCACAACAGTACCAGCTTGGGTTATTCTTGTCAGAAGCTCCAATCACCAGTAGCATTTTGCTCAACTGAGTGCAGCACTGGCTGTTAATGTAGTAAGCGACTTCGGGCTCTACATATGGGCGCTCCTCCTCTACCTGACATGGAAAATCATGGATTCATAGGAATTGAGGATGCCATTTCCACAAATGAAAGGAGCAGGGCAAGCAGCTGCAGTTGCCGTAACTCAGCTACCAAAACGTCCTTGATGAAGCCTTAAAAATAGATGATCTGCAGTTTGGTTGCTTTAGCATTGCAAGGACTGCAAAGATCATGCGATTCAATGTGAACCATGTCACGAAGAACATTCATAAACTTTATCTAAACTATATAAACTATATTAAACTTTATATAACCTGTGTAAATCATCGGAACATTCCGCATCTTCCGGACCTGTCATCTGACGAAACCCAGCAGACTGTCAGTCTTCACAAGGTTTGGCTCTGATGGACAATCAAGCAACTTTCGGCTTATCCATCGGCCCTCCACCGAGACAAAACAAAAAGAAACCATCTCCAGTCTCCAGCTGCCCAGCCTTTTTCCAATCAATCCTCATTGAGCTAGGCTCCTGACATGAAGGACTACTAATAACTCAATAGCAGTTTAAACATGTCTAATATGTTTGCTGAGGAAAGATGGATGGCAGCAAAACGTCTCTGCCTGGCCATATGTGAAACCGGCATTGGTAGAAACTTTTGCAGGGAACTCGATTCTTCAAATCACACATGACTAGCCAAGCAGTCTTACTTTGCTGACTGACCCTTGGTATGCCTGGATCATGGTTTCAATCATTTCAAGAATCAGCACAAACAGAATCTATATCCATCCACTAGGGTGGACCCAACCAAATCAAGAAGCAAGGCCGAACAAGGCAGCTCAGTCAAAAACAGATTGAGTTGCAACTGCTTTGAGGTGCTCTGAACAGAATGTGGTTACCACTGGCTCTTGAAGCGGGAGTTTCTGATTCACTTTGGTACTTGGTAGCTCGTTTTCAAATTTTTCTCCGGGACCAGGGAGTCTGTGCCCTGTTGGCAACGAGTCCAACAACTCACACCGGCGACCCGCGGTCTCCATTTCCATGTTTCATCTGTTCGATCATTCAATATGATTCATTTTCAACAAATTTGGTCGCACCATGTAGCCAAGTGGCACAGTCTTCCGGATCACGGTAGAAAGAGATCTTGTAGGTCGAACCTCGAAGGTCCTGGCGGATCTCAGGATGGGCCGTGTGGCCACTTTCCTCAAAACCTTCAGGTTCCAACCAATGGAAGAGAGGCCCCAGTCGATGGAAGTGGGACCCTTGCCTTCGAGGAGCTGCAGCCTTTCGCAAAAGTGTATGGCATCCTCATTGGTTGGAATATCCACTGACTGCCAAGCTTAAGGAGACCTTTTCTATCCAGATCCGTTTTGAGCGGAAAGCCTGATGTTCACCCACGTTAGATTCGTCCAAAACATCCCCGTTGGAATAACAGGGAATTGATGGATTTGGCACTATAAATTTCAAGGAACCAGAAAACACTCATTATACAATGACACCGCTGAGTCATATATCATCTTCGAAAACAAGGAGGGCAAAGTGCACTACAAAATGGATGGTCAAACCTAAGGTATATATATATATATGGGCAACGATTGCAAACTCGGGCAATTCATTTTGCAGTGCGCTGACTGGTGATGGCAAAAGAGCCAAAGGATGGGCACCGTCATTCTATGTATAGTACAAGTATATAATGTCAAGAGGAAACTATAAAGAACTTACAATATAAAATACTATGATAAAGTTAATTACAAAGTCTCACATGTTCTTACAAACATGGGGATACTACAAAATTAAGTTGTCCCCACCTGTCAGGTGAGGGTTGTGCGATTTTATGTCAGCTGCCTTGTTTCTCCTTCTCCGCCTCCTCGTCCTGGTCCTCTTGGTCCTCGGCCTCCTCAACCGCAAGTGTCGGATGGCAGTGTTCCCCGCGGGACATCAACCGCAAGTGCAGGAGGGCAGCGTTCCCCGCCGGACCTCGACCGCCAGCTCCGGATGGAAGCGTTCGCTGCCGGACCTCAACCGCGAGCTTCGGCGGGCAGTATTCCCCGTCAGACCTCCACCGCGAGCTTCGGCTGGCAGTGTTCCCCGGCGGACCTCAACCGCGAGCTTCGGCTGGGAGCGTTCCCCGCCGGAGCCCAACCGCGAGTCAGGAGATATGCCAGATAGAACACCAGAAAGAATGTAAGATAGAATGTCAGAAGAATATGCGAGATAGAGTGTCAGAAAGAGTGCCAAAGATATCTCGGTATATGCCAGAATGAATGTGAGAAGAGAAGCCAGAAAGAGTGTCAGAAAAAGTGTCAGAAGATATGCAAGAAAGAGTGTCAGAAGATATGCCTGCCGGATAGAGTGTCAAAAGATATGCCAGAAAGCATGTCAGAAGATATGCCGGAAAGCATGCCAGAAGAGATGCCAGAAAGAATGTCACAAAATATTTCCCGGAAAAAACTGTCAGAAATAATGTCAGAAGAAAGAGTGTCAGAAGATACGCTAGAAAGAATGTCAGAAGATATGCCGGAAATATTGTCAGAAAGAATGTCAGAAAATATGCCAGAAAGAATGCCAAAATAATGTTTCAATACATGCCAGAAAATTTGTCAGATTGGACTGTCATGCTGGGGATCACTCGAAGTAAAGTACATAATTACTTTGATTTTTTGTTGCCTTTCTACAAAATGACTGGCCTTGCTTCAAACATGTAACAAAATTTCCTTCTACAAAATGCCGGTGGCCGAGACTTTATTTCGACATTCCCCAGGGATTAAACATTACATCACTACAAATTGAAAGGCCCGATCCCGTCCCAGGGACCCTCAAACTCAACTAAATTCAAACTCAACTAAAATCAAGATCTATACTGGCCATAAGGCCTTCCATCCGTACAGGATATTCCTTCAGGGATTCCAAAACCAATTCCACTTTATATCCCTTTGGGATCTTTTGGGACAAGACATTCCACAAAAGTGCGCAGGAAACTCCAATTCGACGACAAAGTCAAAGAGTCGGAGACGACAGTCTCTATCTTTCTCCCTACCATGCACACATCTCCTGGGCTTGGAAACACTAGCAGGACCCTGTGGAACAAAAAAATCCTAAACCTTTAAATCATGATGAATTCATGTGAATCACGTAGACTGCTGATGGCTTGAAACCACCGGCCATCTCCAGGCCTCCAAGCGGGGTTGGCCGTTTATGAATCAACGGGCCATCGACTCGGCGACCGATTCCTCGATCTGCCAGGTGTTGTCGCCCTCATCAGGACCTGGGTGCAAAAATACTCATCCGGCCATTCACACTTTGAAGACCCTTCGCGGAAAGAAAAGAACTGACACATACTGACACTATGTTTGCTGCTGCTGCTGCTGCTGATGATGATGATGATGATGATGATGATCTCGAACATCAGTCAAAAAAAACTCTACTGCGGTTTTCGGGTTGGTCTTTTTCATCTGGACCAGTCCGATCGGATCAACCCACCCCCTCCCAAATCGAGCCAGCTTCAATTCCAACGCCTCATCTACAGTTTACATCATTTTACCATATGTTCTGTAAACATGTAGAAAGCACGAAAACATGGGTTGATCGTTTGATCGTTTAATCAGGTTTCATCGTTTGATCGTGAGATGAATGAAACATGATGTTGAAGATGAATGAACTGAACTGGACTATCTCACCTGGCGACTCTGGGGACCCCGGGCCACAAATGGCCGAGTGCTGCGAAGCCTTCGCTGTGCCGGGCGGCACCTGCATGGGCACCATGCATAGATCCGGAGGAAGGGCAGTTGTAGATCCCCCCAAAAGATGTCCAAACAAATACCTAATGTCATCTAACGTCCTAGATAGAATATGATAGAAATTGATAGAACTATGATCCGAATTTGGGTTGGTGTCTCTCCAAATATCTCCAAATGCATTTCCTCTTGACACCGGCGGTCGCTCCCAGCTCACCGGCCGGAAGCGACCAACCGGCCCCAGAGCACCGCGCGAGATCACTGCGAGATTACCGGGCCTCCGGGTAGATCGCTTGGCGAAAATCCTGGCGAACGACGAAGGGTCAAAAACTCTTTGGATCTCTATAAAGGACAGAACAAACGTGGAGAACAAAGGACTCCGGGATTCCGGGAAAAGTGAACATTCATGAACATTTCGATGAACATATGCCTCCTGATGAACGTTTAGAGTCTAGGTGGTGTCTTTGTTTTGATGTTTTGCGGTTCTGTTGGGAGGTTGACACACCGAACAATACTCATGCGACGGTCAGACGTGCTTCCAGATGCTTACATGCGCTCCCGGTGCGGTTGGCAAAGGTGACCCAAGGCTTTCTATTCAACCAATTTTATGCTGCTTGTGATACTTGCAGTACTTGCAGTACTTGAAATCTTGGAGGGGGGTTACGGAAGCTTACGGCTTCCTTGTCCTCCAATGTTCGCTTCTGCAACGTGTTCATACAAAGAGTGGTTCACCTGACCAACACACTCAAAGGACAAGACTCCTCATGCGAGCTCGTCATGGACCGGAGGTGTTGGACAAATGTCCAAGGAACTTCGAAAGGTCCAAATTGACTTGAACAGAACACCAGTGAGGGCTGAGGACATAACGAAGCCTAATTGCTCAATTGGGCTGCAATTGCTCAGTCATAGATTATGACTAGTGACTAGTGTGATAAAACCACGTCTTCAGAAGAAATGCACGTGGCTCTGGCTAATTCACCGACTGAAACCGGCATGAAAGCCAAAGCTTTCGAGAGGAGATTGGTTTGAGTCTCAGAGTGGGGCCAATCACACAAACCTCTCTTGGGTCATGTACTTTGCAGAAAACAAACGCTTCCTTCAGCGCCAGGTCATGTTGAAGTGTTGGGCAAATCCTGATTGTGCAAAAGATCCTACAGCCGTTGGGGCCACAACCCTGAACATTCGTTCACATTCCTCCCACATTCTTTCTGGACCCCTTTGCAAACCCTTAGGACCATTTCGCCCATTTCCCCGCAAAAAGAACGAGCATTGACCAACACCTTCTCCGCCCCTTTGAGTTCTTTGGGCAGAAAACTCTGCTCCACCCCTTAAAGGTCCATCCCAACCTCAGTATCCCTTCATATTCCAACCTCCCAGGGCCCGTTTTGGGTTGGCAAAGACTCATCATTTCACCCTACTTCACCCCTCACCGCCGTGACCCCCTGGGCGTGCCGCGTGCCCCCCCCCCCGGCGTTCCTGGTTTCGAACCACGCAGAACTCCATGGGTAAGGAGGACACCTGGACCTGCGGTGAGAAGAAGGTGCCGTTGCGTTGACCCATCGTCTGGTCCCGGTCTCGTCAGCTCCGTCTGACGAAGGAGGGAATGACTGGGACCTCCGCTGGAGGCCTGAAACATGGGACCGACACCCGTCGAAACCCGTCTTAGATAAGAGAACCTCCACCATCTGCTGGGCCATCTGGACTATTCTTTGCGCCGAGGCCAAGCAAAACCTGTGTCAAGACCTGAATGAGCACCCTGTGAGGCGTAGTTGGAGGGGTTAAAAACATCTTGTCCCAGAAATTCGATGTATATAAGATTATATAATAAGTACAGTATAAGAACATGTGCAATTCTTTCGTCTCTTGACCGTTTTGTTCAGCTTCCAAATGGCTCAGTGAAGTGGACGACGGTCAATCAACTTCACCATCCTGCGGCAGGAAACACCCGAGCAAAAACTCCGGCCTCAGCACTGAACCATCCTTTGCGTCTCCTACAGCAACACAAGAAGAATTGTCCCTTGAAGACTAGACTCACTGCATCAGAAAGAGTTGCCGCACCTTTGCACAGTTTGGGAAAGCTGAAGCTCTATTTTTTTGCACCACTGATCATCGAATAATCTGATCGAATGATCTGGTCTCACATCTCACAGGGCATGGAGTTGCAGTGGTGTCAAAAATGGTCTCGTTGGGCGGGGTCAGCAAGTGCTTCAGTCCCTCTAGTATAGTTGATAGAGGGGAGAGGGAAATCGATTGACTTCCGAAGTACCAAGGTGCCCACATCTTGAAAGCTCACAGAAAAACTCCCGGACTTAGTCCACACATAGTCTTTCAGGACGATCTTGGGGGTCCGTCGCTCTTAGGCTGGAGGCCATCGCTACTAGGTTCCTTTTGCTAGTAGACTGTCTGGGCTCCAAACGAGCTTTACGCACCCCAGCTGAGGAAGTGATCTACTTCCCACTCCAATGGCGGTCATTCTCCAGGCCATTTGACAGAAAGAACAGCCGTCACTTGTGACGTGTGAAGCAGTTTCAAGCAGTTTTCCCAAGAAAGGCCAACCTCCAAAAAAGCACGAGCCAATCCACCAGCCACTCCTTCGTGGTCCACTGCTGTCGATCTCCATCTCCACCTCGACAGTACGGCACACCCGGTCGCCGAACCAGCGGCGACCGCAGCGCCGTTCCGCCGGAGCGCGGGTGTGCCAAGGGGGAAGTCCGTCTCGACCCTTTCAGTGACCAAGAACACATGCCGCTTCTCGTGACCAACCTCTCCAGTGTACCAAGGGGGAAGTTGTCTTAAAACATGCAAACAAACACCATGAAACACCCACCAAACACCATGAACAAACCCACACACCAGAATCCACCTGGAACTCCTGATTCGACCATCGCTTGCTTGGCGTCCGAACAAAGTTCCAGCCATTGAAGGGGCCAGTGAGATAGTAGGTGCCTGATCCAAGAAGGATGCAACAATGGGAGTTTTAGAGACGGTTCACCTGAGATTTCGTGAAATGGTCACTCGGAGTCACTCGTCATTCTGTTTCCAATCAATTAGTCTCAACCAGCTTGGAACATCAACAAACTGAGCATCGAGTTGCATCAACTGCAAGACCGTTTTTTGAATCATACGATCTACGGATGTCTACGGTAATTGCAGTGAACTCGACTGTGTTGCCTCTCAAGCCACTAGATCTGTCACTGCCCAAATTGTGGAAAGACCAACAACTGTCTGCAAAAAGACTGCCTGGGACAAACTCACCCTTCTCCTCCATCTTTTCCCAGGTGATTTCCTTGAACTTCTCCCACCTGCGAGTCTCGTCCAGCTTGCGTGCTGGTCGTACTCGCGTCGTCCAGGTGGCGGGCCGTGGTCCCAACTAGACGACAGGGTGGCCCGAAAGCAAGTAGGCGGAAGAGAACAAATAGAAGGGAAGAAAAGCGAAGTAACAGAAGATGAATGAGCACTAAAGAAATGAAGAGATGATATATGATGATTCAAAACATTAAGATGAAACAAAATGAGATGATGATGAGATGACACAATATATAATATATATATATATATCTATATATATATATATACATTATGATTATGATACTATTATCACGTTATTACCAAATCTATTAATGTATATTCTGTTGCACTGTACTTCGGAGCCCAAACGGTAGTCCCGGTCGATTCTTTTTTATCCAGCGCCGGTCGAGCTCAAACGCTAGTCCCGGTAGTAAGAGCCGCTGAAGTGTGCGAAATCGCACGTCCCAACCTGGCATCAGGACAACCAATGCTCATACAAATGCAACACTTGAAAAACAAAACAAATTACCCACAGTTCAACTCATGTTGTTTTGTCGGTTATCAGATATAGTTGCACACCCAGTCGGAACAGGATCGACTTCGAACAACTCTCGGTCGTGGATCTCGTGCCTTGTGGAGTCTCTGCACGTTCAGCTGGAACAAGGGTCGACTTCGGACAACTTCCGGTCGTGGACCCAGGTCCTTCTAATCAGTTTGGTCACGACACTTTGCAATAGCCAATTCACAGCTTTTCGCCGATACTTGTAACTTCGTGGCTGGTGACTATATGTGGCATCGACATGCCGGCCTCCTGGAATTCCATTGCGTGGTGTCCACTTTCATTTGGTCCCACTTGTTGCCGCTCAACCTGTTCAAAAGACTCAATGTCTCTGGAAACGAAACTGGTCTTTCAGGTCAAATCACAACAAGCAAAGAATATCATTCAAGTCCAACAATCGAACAAAAAAAAGATGTCTATAGAGCTCTGTTTGCACAATTTTATCGGTTATCAGGTAAACCGACAAAGGTTTACACCAGAAAGAGTTTACAGCAGAGACAGTTTACACCAGACAGCGTTTACACCAGACACCGTATACACCAGACACGGTTTACACCAGACGTCGTTTACACCAGACAAAGCCAACAAAGGTTTACACCAGAAAAAGTTTACACCATAGACAGTTTACACCAGACAGCGTTTACACCAGACACCGTTTACACCAGACATGGTTTACACCAGACATGGTGGAAACCATTGCAGCAGCAATTATAAGGCGATTAGCAACAAAAGATTGCAAAACACCACGTAACTACGCACTGAACGATGACACAGGAACACCTTCGAGCCAGAACTATAAGGCGAATAGCAACCAAAGCGTGTAAAACACCATGTAACTACGCACCGAACGATGACACAGGAACACCTTCGAGCCAGAACTATAAGGCGATTAGCAACCAAAGATTGCAAAACACCATGTAACTGCGCACCGCAAGCACAGAGAATAGCCTCCCAAAACCGGATCTCGACGTCCAAGCTCCAAAAATTGCGATTTCGAAGCGTTTTTTAAAAGAGATTTATAAGAAAAATGAAAGCGGTAAAACTTGGAAAAAAGTACGTTGGAAACCATTGCAGTAGCAATTATAAGGCGATTAGCAACCAAAGCTTGCAAAACACCACGTAACTGCGCACCAAACGATGACACAGGAACACCTTCGAGCCAGAACTATAAGGCGATTAGCAACCAAAGCTTGCAAAACACAATGTAACTACGCTCCGAGCGATGACACAGGAACACCTTCGAGCCAGAATTACAATGGGGGAACGCTCCGGGCACAGACCATGGAATCGCATTTCCCAACGAGTATGAAGTCCGCAGCGCACATTCGCGACATC